GAGGTCTGTCCTGCCTCTCGGTTTTGCCCACATCACTCCAGTGCAAAGCTCAGCCTCTTCCCCAGTTTCCACTCCACACAATTAAAAGCCTCGTTGCACAGCTGAGGCTAGCACTTCGGTGGCTGCTAAAGGGTGAGGGAGCACGAAGCGACTCCCACCCCCACCCCTCCTCCCTTCTCCCTCTTAGGAGGGACAGGCCCTCTCCTGTCCCTTTCACTTCAGCAACAGTCTCTGGTACTTGGCCATGTCCTTGGGGCCTGACTGTCCTTCCCAAGGGCATATCAAACAATTTCTTCCCTGAAAATATAGTGTTTTCTACAAGAGGAAGCTGAGGAATAAAATTTCTCCATCTCGTTATGCAACCATGGCTGGGAGATTTGACAAGGGCAAAGGTTTTTGGAAGCCCAGAGATCTGATTGATTTTATATGAGAACAGAGACAGTGAGCGCAAGCTCACCCACGAAGAGGCTGAGAGAGTGGAGTGTGGCCACCGTTTACTCAGAAGTGCTGATGGGGAGGGCACGTCTGGGAACACGTTTCTGCAGGTCGCCACGCTCTCCATCGCTGTGCATTTTGCTCGGGTTTTCATTGCAGTCTGGGATCAAGGCCTGATTTCTCAACAGAAAATCCAGGGATGCCAGAATCTTCTCTGTTAAGACACAGAGGCCATTTCCTCACTGCTGCTGTGTTGCCTTCATTTTTGATGATCTAAACTTTGCCACAGAACTAGCTCTTGTTTCAGAAGTCCTTCTAGACTGTCATTTGTCGTTCTCTTTTGAATTCAAAGTTTTCAAGTGCTGCTAGTCCGTGCTGGGACTGAGGTCCCCGGGGCGGAGTCGTCATTTCTGAGTCCCAGCCTCTCCGTCAGTCGCGATCAGCAGCCTCCTCCCTGTCTCTTGTCTGCTACTGGCTCCCCCCGGGGCCGGCCCCCAATCCTCTTTTCCTTCCAGTCCAAATAAAAGCAACATTTTCTAACATAACAAAAACAAAATTCACTTGTAACACTCAACCTTTGTCCAGGGTTTAGAGATGACTCACAATGTGAAGAATGTGTTTGACTCAGGAATTGAGCAGAACATTAAGCCATTTTTAACAAAGGATGTCACAACAGATTTGCTGCTGAAGGAAGGTTTTCATTAATCCTTCAATGGAATAATTACAATAGCTAATATTTATTAAGTGATTACGATATTTACATGGATGAATTCATTTAGTCCTATGAGGTGGGATTATTCTTTATCCCCATTTTACAGGTAAAGAAACTGAGGTTTGGAAAGAATAAGTGACTTGGCTCAAGGTTGCTCAGCTAGTCCACCTTTAGGGGCAAAATTCCCACCCCAGTGACCAGGCTGCAGCCCCTGCTTGTCTGCAGAGCTGTGCTGATGCTGGAGGTTGGCATCCAAGGTCCTGGCCTTCTAGTAAAGAAAGTATAGAGGGAACTCTTTCAGAGCGTGAGGTCCACATTTAAATTATTCCATTTAAAGTGGGAGAATTTTCCTTCTCCATCTTCTGCCAACCCTGATCTCTGCAGATTTGGCTACTTCTCTCTCTGCTGAGCGCTTAAAATTGCGTTCTCATGCAGTGGCCAGAGCAAACGCTCTCCCGCACGTTCCTTTCCTGCATCACAGCCTTTGCAGTTGCTGTTCGCTCTGCCAGAAATGCTCTTCCCCCAGTGGTTTGCACGGCTGGCTCCTTCTCCTGTCAGCTCAAATGTCTGCTCCACATAGAGGACTTTGCTGGTAATCTCCCAAGTGACAATCATATTTTCCTGTTTATTTCTCTGCCTGTAAAGTATCTTGTTCATTTGTTTCTCATTCATCATGGGTCTCCCTGCAACGGGGAGAGCACGGTCCCCCCACAACTGGAAACCCCCCTGGGCCCTCAAGTCGTTTGGTCCTGGGCTGTCCCCACGTCTTGCTGGCTCCCCATCCTCTCTCCCTCTGTCCACCTGTCCCTATGCCATGGGGTAGCTGAGTCTCTCTGTGTCGTCCTCACTGAGGCCCCTGCCCTACTGGCCTTACTTTCAACCCAAGGGGTTTGTAAAGGTATCTTAGCAAATACAGACAATTCCCTCTCTAAGAAAATTCCAGTGTCTGCTATAAACAACAGAAGTTTTATTCTATCAACCCTTTCTGAACCTCAGTGCTCTGATCTTTAAAATTGGGTACAATGATAAGTACCTGCAGGGTCAACGTAAATTAGGAATGAGATTACGGATGTAAAATGCAGCCCCCAAAAGTACTTAGCCTCCAGTAATTCTGCTCTCCTTTGCCTTGTCTTCCCTGGACTTAGAGGACTGCATATAACCTACCTTTGTTGGCCAAAGACAGAGGACAGGGAAGCCAGTCTGGGAGGCCTCTCCGCTACTTGCAGGAAGCATTTGTGAGACTTCAGGAAAGTTCTGCAAGAGCTAAGTTTTTCCTCCCTGAAGCCCAAGTTCAAAAGTCAGGAGAAGGGGGCAAGGCAGCTCTGTCTGTCTGAGCTTATGTACAGTAAAAGGGCCTCAGACCCCCAATATGTAGTCAAATCCTATCACTCACTCATTCAACAGCAATCCCTCGCTTGATGAAAGGTGCGGGGAGAGATGCAACATATAGAGTTGTTGCTGTTTTTAAGGCACGTGCTGGGCGCTACTAGATCTCACTGATATAACCCAAATTCCACTGCCTCTTACAGGGGCAGTGAGGTGCACAGACTTAAGCTTAAGTCCCAGCCTCGCCACTTACCAGCTGTGCTGCTTTCGGCAAGTCCTGCATCTCCTCACTTCAACCCCCCTCCCACTTGCCACAACTCCACATGGCCGTCAGAAACCACGCTGTCTCTTTTTACTGACTATTTTGTTGTGAATCTCTGAGTTCTTTCTAGATGCTTCCTGGATGTCTAGCCTGCTTTTTAAATTCATCTGAAGCACAGAGGCTGGTGCACAGCATCAGTGAGTGAGGAGATGGATGCAGCCAGAAGCAGGGGGCCGTGGAAGCATCAGGAACAGAACCGCAGCTACCTCGGTCACCCTGCATGCCTCCCATCAGTTGGTCCTGCAGCCTGGCTGCCTCCCATAGCATCAGTGAGTGAGGAGATGGATGCAGCCAGAAGCAGGGGGCCGTGGAAGCATCAGGAACAGAACCTCAGCTACCTCGGTCACCCTGCATGCCTCCCATCAGTTGGTCCTGCAGCCTGGCTGCCTCCCATCAGTTGGTCCTGCAGCCTGGCTGTCTCCCATCAGATGCTCCTGCAGCCTGGCTGTCTCCCATCAGATGCTCCTGCAGCCTGGCTGTCTCCCATCAGATGCTCCTGCAGCCTGGATGTCTCCCTTCAGATGCTCCTGCAGCCTGGCTGTCTCCCATCAGATGCTCCTGCAGCCTGGATGTCTCCCTTCAGATGCTCCTGCAGCCTGGCTGTCTCCCATCAGATGCTCCTGCAGCCTGGATGTCTCCCTTCAGATGCTCCTGCAGCCTGGCTGTCTCCCATCAGATGCTCCTGCAGCCTGGATGTCTCCCTTCAGATGCTCCTGCAGCCTGGCTGTCTCCCATCAGATGCTCCTGCAGCCTGGATGTCTCCCTTCAGATGCTCCTGCAGCCTGGCTGTCTCCCATCAGATGCTCCTGCAGCCTGGATGTCTCCCTTCAGATGCTCCTGCAGCCTGGCTGTCTCCCATCAGATGCTCCTGCAGCACTGAGCAGACTTTGGTACCAGGAACTGGCATCCCAATACTCAGCAAAGTCCAGCGCTTGGGCAGGCAACACTGAGAGTCCCAGCACTGCTGGCCTAGCCCCTGCTGCCTACAGACAAAGCTGGCTGTAAAACACAGCTTTATTTCTAAATACCATACAGTCCTCTTAGAGACCTGGGAGGTTAGGCTGCCAGATCCAGCGTTCAGGCCACTGGTTTTCAGCATGAAGGAAACTGCTCCTCAGCACAAATTGTTAAGGAACTGATAAAATCTGTTGCCAAGGTAACTATTCTTCCAAGGAGGTCAAACAGAGAAATTACTCAGATAGTCAATAGTGATGTCATTTTGAACCCACCGGCCATCTGGCAGCAAGTCAAGAGGCATAGCCAAAAGCCCATGTACATTTTTCCTTTGCTTGCAATTTTCTTAAGAGTCGGGCATGGGAACCTTGTCCGCACCCCAAGCCCTTACAGCCAGAGAGAGCAGCAGTATTTGTCACCATGCCTGGGAAAGAGAAGAGGTCCTTTGTGGAGCCACTGGAGAATGCTCCCGTGCCAACGTCTTCCTCTTCCAGCTCTTGTCAATGCTCCTGCCGAGGAAGCCCAGAGAACAGCCTGTCAGCTCTTTTCAGGGCTGGGAAAGTCAGGCTTTCTGTCGCCTTGACTGGGCGGAGGGACTTGGATCACTGGTCATCAGCCCAGGATTTAGACAGAGGAACAAAGAGAGATGGGAAATGTCAGAACTTTCACTGAGAGCTAGGGACTTCCAGAGCTGGAGGAAACCTTGACAGTCCTCAGGTGCAGCCACCCTGCTCCCCCACTGATGAGAAACGGAGCCTGGTAGAGGTCACACAGCTCCAGACCCAGGGATCTTGCTGCCCAGAGGCAGAAATTCTGAGTGACTCAGGCCTAAGCCCGACGTCTCTGTTTGCTGGACAGGCCACTGCACTAGCCTCGCTCTGCAGCCTGGCTCCACAGAGCAGCACTGTGATGCCCAGCTCTGTCATCTACCAATAAAAGAGTGGATTTGTCCCCAAGCTCTTCATCCACCTCCAACCAGCTGTCAAGCCATCTAGCTCTATCACCGCCACCAGCCCAGTCCTTCCCAGCTTGTTCAGGGGGATCCAGATTCCTGAAGGAACAACTGCAAACTCTTCAGGATAGCATTTCAGGCCAGCTGACTGTGGAAAGAGAGTGGGCTCTACAGTCAGCCAGACAAGGGCTCAAACTCTGACTCTGCAACTTTCTTGCACTGTATACAGGTCAAGTTACTGAATTTTTCTGAGCTTTAATGACCTCATCAGTTAAATGGAGATAATAATCAATACCAAAGAAGGTTTTAGGAATTTAATGAGAGTCTGCAGAGGGCACACAGCCCTGCATCGGGCACGTGCAGGTGCCAGGTGATTGGCAGCTGCCTCCCTTTGGGATCGTCCATCCTCCCAATCCTGGGTCCTGGTGGCCCCTGCAGGACCCTTCACTTTGGCCATCTACTGTCTGCTTTATTTGGTGGTCACTGACGTAACTGTTTCTCATTCCAAGTAAATGCAGTTCCTCAAGTGCTTCTTGAACACCTACTGCGTGCAGGGCCCATGTTGACTGCTGGGGCTGCAGGAACCACCCAGTGGCCATCCCTGCCTCTGGGAACTTGTGCAATGAGAGAGCAAAGGGTAAGCTGAGCAGAGAGTAAGCAGCTTCACAGGGCAGAACAGGGTCTAGATGACGTACCAGCACTGGCCTAGGGGGGGGGGGGTCGGGTCCACCGTGAGACAAAGGGGCTGACTTTTGCACCCTGCGCTAGACAGTCACCAGCTCTGCACTGCAGAGAAGGGGGTGGGTGCACCTGGGTGAGGCAGCTCCTGCTGGACTGAGGACAGTTCTGGAGGGAAAGGGCAGCTCTGAGCCCTCACAGCCCACAGCCACAGCCCCTGGCCCACCACAGTGTCCAGGTGGAGGCGAGGCAGAACTGGTGGGGACAGCCACATGGAAACCAGATGTAAGGGGTTTAGAATTGCACCCTGACATTGGATTGTCCAGCCTCCAGAACAGTGAGAAGAAAATGTGTGTCCTCTAAGCCACCCAGCTGTGGTAATTTGTTATAGCAGCCCGAGCTGACAAAGACAGCACCCTTCCAATGTCGGAGATCCTCTCCCAGGGTCTCTCTTATTCCTACACATCCTGTCAATCCCCAGTCTCCTCTTTATCTGGACATTTCTTGAGGATGTGTTTGCACCAAACACCCTTGGGAGACAAGATAACGTCTCCCTCTCAGACACAGAGCAAGCTTCCATAGGCAGCAGGCTCCCCCAGCCCTGTGCCCCTCTCCTGGGTGTAACCCAGCCCTGTGGGCCTTGGGGCTCAGGGCACTGACGTGGCCATGCTGACACTCTGGCTCCCACTACTGCTGTGAGTAACAAAGTCTCCAGTCCTCCCAACTCAGAAGTCTGTTGCCAGCACACAGGCAACCATCACAGCCCAACTCATTAGCTTGCAAGGAGGCAAAAACCTCAGCCCCTGCACAGCCCTTGGCATCTGGCATTAGTCACTGCCACCTCCAGCTGCAGCAGCTTCCTTACTGTGCCCACACACAGGAAATGCCTACCTTAGCCCCTTGCGGACATTCAGAATACCAACAGTTCTGTCTGTCTGTCTCATTTCTTTCCACTGTCATACCAAGTGGCATCTCATGCTTTTCACTCACGTGGGGTGTCTTAATGAGACTCCCTGCCTCCAGCCTCTGCGTGGTGGATCCTCTGGCAAAGTGTACAAAGCCCTTGTGATCTACTCTTCCCGCTGTTATGGCCTCATCTCTGAGCTCTTCCCCATCTGAAACTTACACTCCAGCAAACCCCAATTTTTCTGCTCCCCAAAGTGTGTGCCCGTTCATGCTGTTCTTTCTGTTTGGAATTATCCTTTACTCTCTTTATCTGCCTCATTCTTTAAGACTGAGTTCCAGAGACACATCCTCCAGGATGCCTCCCCTGTGGTCTGGCTGGCTCAGTTGGGACGTCCATACACCTTTTTAGTGGATTGAATTATGTCCCCCCAAAACTCACTGAAGCTTGAATTGTGTCCCCCAAGTTTTATGTATTAGAAATGTATCCCCCACTGTGACTGTTAAGAGGGTGAGAAATCCTATTATGGTAATTGAAAGGTGGAGCCTTGAAGAGGTGATTGGATTGTAGGACCCTGCAGTAGTGAACGGATTAAAAATGGTGGTCATGGGTGTAGTCTGGAAGGCTTTAAAAGGGGAGCACGAAGAGTCTGTCTGTCTGTCTGTCTCTCTCTTACTGTCTCTGCTCCACCATTTTCACAACGTGATACCCTGCATCACTGTTGCCACCACCAAGACCCTCACCAGATGTGTTCCCTGGACTTTAGAGTTCCTAGCCTCCGAAACAGTAAGCAATAAATTTTGTTTCCTTATCAATCATCCAGTTCTGAATATTCTGAGATAAGCAACAGAAACAGACTTATACACCCCTCTGTGCCCCCACTGCAGGTTACACACAACAGCTTCAACTAGTACCAGAGGTGCTGGCCGACTGATCTGTTCTTCCAGTGCTGTGAGCTCCCTGGAGGCACAAACTGTATCTTGCTCATCCCAAATAGGTACAGTGCTTAGCTGGGTGGTGCCCAGAAATACGAGGGTACTTCAGAAAGCCTGTAGAAAAAACAGAATTAAAAGATATCATTAATCTTTCCATGAACTTTTTGAAGGCCCCTCATATTTACTGAAAAAGAGTGAATGAACGTCCACCTCCTGCATGAGTACTTCGCTCCCCACCGGCCAGTGGTGCGCTCCTCTGAACTCCCCAGGACTTTCTCTGGGACAGCCCATGTGGGGGTGATTCCCATTCTCACACCCAGCCTTGCTTCCTGATCTTCATGTGCACCCCTCGAGGGTCAAGACTGTATCTTCTCCTAGTTCAGACTAATCTTAGGCCACTCGGGAGTTTTTCTAGCTTTCATTTTTATAGATAAATTACTTAGAAATCCCTAAAAACCTAAGATAGCGAGAAGAGCTACAGAGTGTGTTACATTTTATTCAGATTAATGGATGGATTTCCATTCCGCTCTGAGTACATCTGATGTGCACGTCTGTTTCTAATATTAAAACCAAATCACTCTCCTGGGAGAAGAGAAGGGCACTTGTCTCCACTGCCCTCTGTCCATCTGCCATCCCTGAGCAGGTCTCAGGAGGTGAATTTACTCAAGATTCACCAAATATTCATCGAGTGCATAATAACATTCCTGCCCCCGGGCACCGGGAGGATGTACCTGTCCACGTGCACGCAGGGAACAGAGCTCTGATTTTATTGGTAGGTCAAGACCGAGCACAACCTCCACCACAACAACCAAGAGCAAGCTGCCAAGTGGTCGACCAGAAAACCCGAGAGTCTGATAAGATCACGAATAAGCATGTGGGTCAATGGCCGGCCTTTTGACAGTTTGTTCCACTTAGAATGTGGTTTTTCCTACTCCACTTCCTCCACTCATCAGAGCAGACTTCTTCCAGAATGATCTGCAGCCCAGCTCAGAGAAGGGCTCTCTCCAGTCGGTAACGGAGGGCGGGAGGTCTGCAAACAGCTACTGAGCAAAACCGCACATGATCTCCGGTGAGCAGAGAGCAGGGCTTCCTGGTCAAGTCACCATAAATCTCTTTCAGATTCCAGTTTAGTTCCTTGGGAAAGGAAGACAGACTTCTTTGTTGTTTCGTCACTTGTGTATTTGTGAGATGGAAAGTAACACTGCATTGGGGTTAGGAGTCCAGTCATTTCCACCACACACCACTGCGAGGTCCAGTGGGTCCTGTGATGTGAGACTTGAGGTCTGGACGTGGGTGGTAAAGTGTGCAGAAAGGGAGGTCTCAGGTAAGAGCATAAGTATGGTGTGGCGAGTAAAACATGGTCCTTGAAGTCGGACGGAGAAGGGTTCTAGTCCTGCTTACACCGCTTACCAACTGGGGACCATCAGTGAGCCAGCTGTAGCTCCTCTGAGCCAACCGTCCTCATCTGTAGGTCAGAAACGATCACCCTACCTGTCCTTATGCTTTGGCCATGTGATGGACTCCCACCTGTTTGACACTCCTGCCCCTCTCGATGTACCCCTCAAACATCTGTGTGGCTTTCCCTATTCACCTCCCAGTCCCACAGAGAGGTGTGCTGGCCTTTGACCCGTGTTCCCGTCAGGCTCCTTCCCTAACAGGGAGCGCATGGTGGGCTACCTGTTTGACACTCCTGCCCCTCTCAATGTACCCCTCAAACATCTGTGTGGCTTTCCCTATTCACCTCCCAGTCCCACAGAGAGGCGTGCTGGCCTTTGACCCGTGTTCCCGTCAGGCTCCTTCCCTAACAGGGAGCGCATGGTGGGCGAGCACCTGGCCTCGTGCAGCTCTGTAAGGGGGAGACACGGCTTATGATCACCTGAGTGTTCTCTGCCTCCTCCCACCCCAACCTTTGCCTCCTATCTTCCGTCTTCCCTACCCTCTAAAAAGAGTCTAGTCTTTAATGAACAAGATATAAAACGTGGGCAATAGGACTGGAAACACGGGTAGATAGAGACAAGACCTGAGCCGTGGGAGGAAAGAGGATGGGATATGGCTGAGGGGCTAAGCCACGCTGCAGAACACAAGCAGACAGAACTGGGGCGGAGGGGGAGGAACATGGTGGGAAAACACGTGGGTTGGGCACAGGAGGAGGCCAGAGGGAGTCTGGCCAGTGAGCTCTCCCGGGCATCCACCAGCTGCTAGGAAAGAGACAAAAGGGAACTGGAAGGCTTGAGGAGTTGTGAATTTGTGCCCCATTAATACTTCTTAAAAGATGCAAACAAAACATTATAATTAAGTTTTTATAAAGTTTGATCTCAGACTGCGTGTTTTTAACCGTGTCTCAGTACATAAGCTGAGCCACACTGAGCCCTAAAACGTATCTGGGTTATGCCCATCTCCTCAGAGCCTGGGGTGGTGTCTGACCAGGATTTCACCTGGTGGGTTGGACTGACCATCTAGCCCTGGTGGCCAGGGACCTGCTGGTAAACTTTTCCTGCTGTCTGAGCCATTCCCATCATCACAGCCTTGGTGACACCACAACAAAGGGAGCTATTGCACAAAGGTACAGAAACTTGGAGGGACATGCTCAAGCTGATAATAGGTAACTTCTCGGGTATATTTTGAGCCCTCAATAATCACCTGGAAAACTTTCTATTACACGGTAGTGACTTCTCCAGCCACCGTTTGTCTAAATGAAGATAATCAGATTCTCTCTTCTGGGAACCTGGAATCGTGACCAAGCACTGGTCTCAGTCTGGGCTGGTTAGCTTGAGCAGATATGTAAACCAGAGGCCATGGAGCAGCCAGACCTGTCCCCGTGCAGGACAAAGCACTGAAGGTCTGTCCGGAGAGAGAACGAGAACAGAGAAACGAGAGGACATGAGAGGAAACAGAGAAACGAGAGGCCTGTGCACCCGGGTTCTCTGAGATTGCTTTCCCATAAACGTCCATTGTGGCTGAAGCTACTTTGAGGTAGGTTTCTCTCACCTGCAACCGACCACGTAATTGTAATCTGGACCAAGGCAATGACAATAGCGTCTGGAGCCACAGTCCCCAGCAATGCGGTTGTCCTCCTGCCAGCCTTGTCCCCATAACCCTGGGCAGTAAAGGGAACTGTGCGGGAAACAGCACAGACTCGCCAGGGCCTCCCAGGTGGGTAACCCCCCTACGGTCTGCTCTGGAGCCCCTGCCTTAACTGAGCCCGTCCAGCCTAGGAAAGGGGAGAGGAGGTAA